AAACCCAGCCAGTGAAAAGCTTAAATTAGTCACCACTGCACTGAGTTAATGACTGCAGCCCGTCGGTCTCCGAGGGAAAGATTTCATCCGTAAAAACCTTCCCTCCGGCCACGGCCATAGAACACTTGCAAGGCTTGGATTATGGAAAAGCCACAACTAGCACAGTGAAATGCAGATTTGCTGGAGCAGAACACTGAGGAATGAGGCAGCCGGGGACTGATGTAAGTAACCACCCTGCCCCCCCGTAAGTAAATTTGACCCCCTTCCCTCTCGGAAAACCACGGTGAGTTGTACCTAGTTCTGCCACAGCCGCTGCACAGGCTGACAGAGCGAATTTGCTGGCTCGGGGCCATCTCTCTGGAAGAGGTAAGCTCTTCTCTTCTTCTGCAGGTGACATCTAGCATCTCACATGAACCGAGGCTAACCAGCCACCCTGCCCGGCTGTGTCTGCAGCAAGAGCGGGCCCTAGCGCGGATCAGCTCGGGGTGGTTTAGGAGAAAAGCTGCTGAAGGTCATGTTTCTCCAGCAGCCTCCGTGTCTGCAGAGCTGGAAGGTCCTCCTGCAGTGACACAAGAGAGGCACGCTCAGCAGGCTCCTGGGAAATGTAGTCTGTCCCCAAGGCTGCTCTGTGCCGGGAACCGGCACTGCAGCTACAGACACAAGCACGGCTTTGTCCATTACCGACACTGAAAAGACCAATTAATCATTAATGAGAGCTCAAGATTACGTGTGGGGTCTGTTTGCTTTGCAGGGTGCTGTCATTGGCAGCGCTGCTTGGGAGCCCCAAACTCTGTTCCCGTGTCAAGCAGCCGCATCCGGGAGGGATTCATTGATCCAGATCTGGTTTAGTAAAAGCTGCATTAGCAACAGCTACGTGCCGAGCTGGGGCTGTGCTTTAGGCACGTAGCCCTGCAGTTTGAACAAGGATCCCAGCCAGCCTGGGATGGCAGAAATTGATCACTTCTCAGAGCCCTGAAGTGAAAAGTTTAAAGCTTTTCCTGGCTGAATGCTGAAGTCCTGTTATGTGCCAGTCCTAATTTCTCTAAAATTATTGTAGATCTAGTTCGATTCTCATCATTAAAAAAAAAAGAAAAAAAAGAAAAAAAAAAAAGAGGTATGCACTGTCCAAGGGAAGTTTTTCATTTATCATTATGGCTCAACTGAATCCCTCAGTTAATCATTAGCCATTATTCAGTAATCCTCAAGCTGATTTCAGGATTTTTTTGGTCACAGAAATTTATCCCACAACACCTCCCCACATCTCTGTCTGACTGCCTAAAGTGTTGGTGTGTGGTCCCTGTCAAAATAATTCAGACAAATTAAGGGAGCATTGCAGGTGAAAGATTCAGTTGAAGTTGGATGAATCTGTCTCATTGGTCATCAATAATTGGTATTAAATTGGATCCTTCTTGGGGTTAAAATTCATTAACATTCATGCAGGGATAAAACAACCTTCTGATAAAGCTAAGGTTAAAAATGGAGAGAGGGCATATTGAAATGGAATGCAAATGTGCCTGGCTGCATGGAAGGTATGAGTGGTTCAGAGCCTGTTTCTGACCACTTCACACAATTTGCTGTGGCACTTTGTGCCTCCCTCCACAGCTGTTCTGTGGGCTTGGGTCAGCTTGTGCCACACTCTGTCAGCCTGGGTATCATCAGCTTGTAGTGTGGGGTAGAAAGGACCTCTAGAGTTCACCTGCAGTCTTCCTACAGTCCTCTGCCACAGCAGGGAGAGCTTTGGAGTTACACCAGGCTGCCCAAAATCTTGTTTAGTCCCCTCCCAGGATGAAGGTTTCACAATCATCCTTTAGCTGTACACCTCTGGGTATAGTCTCATTCTGTTTTCTCTATGACCATGCTTTAGGGAGTGGAAAACAACAAATAGATGCCACCTTAAAGTAAACCTCATAGCATTGCAGCATCCTATGGAAGGAGCAGTTCTCCATGGTCATTTTTAGCCTGAAGAAATAGATTATTTTAAAAACCAGAGGATTGGGGGATGGCTGTGAAGAGGAATATTCTCCTCCCACAGGACCTTTGAAATGAGCCTGACTAGAGGTGGATGCTTGTGTGGACAGCTCTGTGAAGTGTGGAGAAGGGCCAGAACTCATGGAGATCCACCAAACACCTGGAGTTTCTAGATCCCTGAATCCTGAGACAGACAGCACCAGCAGAGAGGACTCTTCCTGTTAATTTATTTCGGTTCTCAGTGAAAATGGAGTTTTCTGGTTTCTGTCCCAAGCCAGTCTGACCAAAGGCTGCATATGCAGGGAGTGTGGACTTGAGATGGGGTGGAAGCACGGCAGCAGGGTCTGGGACAGCTGTGTGCTGCTGGAGAGAGGCAGCCAGACTGCCCAGTGCCCTGACCTGTGCTTCTGTGTGTGTTCACATTAACCACTGCACAGCCTGAGGAAAGCTTGACTTTTTCCCCATCGTACTGGTTGTGTCCTCACAATAGTGCCTTGCATCTCATGTCCTTCACCAAATCATGCCCTAAAAGTACAGCCTAAATAAAACTAACAAAAAAAGGCCAAAGCAAACAGAAAAGCCTTTAATGAATGTCTTCACAGAGGCTTGAGGGCTTGTCTTACCTGTATATATAGATCACTTTAAACTCACTACTCAGTCAGTTAATGAAAATATACCATGCATATAATGAAAATATGCATTTTCTTCAATATTACAAGGTCTTTAGCTCCTTTATCACTTTACCCCTTAACAGCAAGATATATTATTTAATGGATAAAGAAAACCAGGAAATAAACATGTAAGGAGCTGTGACAGCTAAACACAGAAGTGTAGAAATACCACAGTTAACAGTGATTTATCTGTTTATTCCAGACAGTTTGCAAAATGGAGATCAACACCCTGTTTGTCACAGTTGACGTATGTGAGCTTGTTCTTCTGCACCTACGACCAACATGTAACATCCCAAGGTATTTCAGAATGACTGTTTAATGAAGAAACACACCTGGTTTTCACAGCTCTTAACCTCCTACTATCAGGTGTATTTCTGCTGTGCTACTTTTACTGTACTGCCTGTCTGCACAGGCACAAAGGTTCCTGTTTGTGCACCCATTCCTGTATAGGAAGGGAGTTAAACTGTATTTGTATCTGTATCTGTTTATTCCCACTGCCTCTTGCCCTTTAACTGGGCACCCTGAGAAGAGCCTGGCTCCATCCTTGTTGCACCCTCCCCTCAGGTGTTCATACACACTGAGAAGATCCCCTTGAGCCTTCTCCAGACTGAGCTGTTCCATCTGCTTCAGCCTCTCCTCAAATGACAGATGCTCCAGCCCCTTTTTGGCACTTCACTCTTGGCAGAGAGGGATCACCTCCCTCAGTCTGCTGGCAGCACTTTCCCCAGTGCAGCCCAGGGTGCTCTTGAGTGTGTTATAAATACATATTATAATATTGGCTTTTCGCAAAATATTGAAATGTATGTTATATATATAGTATTAAAGTAATTCTCCTATAGTTTTTTTATTTCTATTAACTAAACTTAGGCATAGTAGTGGAATAGCTGATTGCTATGCTTGAACTGCCTGCTTGGTTGAGATAACATCCAACATACAAATGATGAAGACCCCTGCTACTGATGTGTCAACCATCAGCACCTACCGTCTGAGGAAAGTATGGACCAAAACCCAAACTGGAGATGATATTAAGAATGGACTAAAACCACAGCCAAGGAGCATGCATGCTCTAAAAAGGTGGTCCTGAGGAGGAGTCATGCTAAACAGTTCTTAGAGCATGTAAACTATTTGGAGAAAAGTTTAAATATGTGTAATTGTTACTGAATATGCAACAGGCTGATGCAATAGAAAAGATATATAAAGGGTGTCTCAGAAATAGCAGGTGTGCTCTTGGCAGAATGCTAAGCACCCAGACATTAAACTTTGCTTTATTTTTGTCTCCTCTTGCCTTTTATTAAACCTTTAAATTTTACCAGGAAGGTGAAGCAAAGTGCAAAGGTCCATCTCTGACTCGTGTTCAACGTGGTGTCCACCAGGACCTCAGATCTGCAAAGTTCCTATCCACCCCCTCAGCCTGTACTGGTGCAGGGTGTTGCTCCCGCCCAGGGACAGAACTTGGCATTTCCCTTTGCTGAACATCATGAAGTCCCTTTTTTTTTTCTGTAGGAAAAGCGGGACCAGGGGATCCTTGAGGTCCCTTCCATTATTCTCTGGTTTTGGGATAAGTCCCTGTCTGCCCCTTTTCCAGCCTGCTGAGGTACCCCCGAGTGGCAGCACACTCATCTGGTCTGGCGGCCACTCCTCCTGGTTTTGTGTTCTCTTCAGATCTGCTGAGGGTGTGTGTGGGTAGATTCTGACAGCACTTCCTAGGGGATTTTTATACTTAATGTATTCTCTAATAATTTTGATGTGCCACTTTCACACATGCAAAGAAACTAATCTGACCTCTCTGAAACCTTGTATTCTGATATGGCACTGATATAACAGAGGTCACCAGCAGGTTTTGAGCTGTCAGTTCAACCTCAGAAGTGTTTCTCTGCTCCTCAGACACTGGACATGCATCTAGCCTTTAATGAGGTGTCTCAGACAGGTGAGAGATACCTTTCTTAAGGCTTCTGCTCCAGCTGATGCCTGCAGAAGTTTCTTGTCATCTATCTGACTTGCTGAAAGCTGAATGTCTGCAAATCACAGGCTGTCTGTTTTGTGATCTCAATACTGAAAAAAACCCCTGTATTTTTTTTTAAATTGAAGAAGGCTCTGCACCGCTTTGCCACTGTCCCTGGCCGTGTCCCTGGCTGCCCGGGCGGCCTTCCAGCGACCGCTGCAAAGTCCAAGGATTTGCCACAGCAACATCTACGGTTTGCAAGCGGCAGAGTTGGTCCTCATCCCAGAAGAGAGCAGAGCTGGCTCTGCCTTTTCCAGAGCAGGGGTTTGTTCCCGGCGCTGCTCAGGGCCCGGCGGGCAGGGCCGCTCCGGAGCTGCCCCAGGAGCTCGGAGCGCGGCCAGAGCCGGGGCCGGGGNGCCCGGGCGGGCGGAGCAGCGGCCGGGGCTGGCACCGGCGGCGAGCAGGCAACATGGAGCTCGCTCTGCTCTTGGCAGCACTCCTGGGACTCCTCATTGTCAAGGCTCTTTTGTTTCAGCTGAGAAACCCGAGCTCCCCTCCTTGCATCAGGAGCTGGATCCCTTGGTTTGGAGCCGCGTTTCAGTTCGGGAAAGCTCCTCTGGAGTTTATAGAGCAAGCCAGAAACAAGGTAATGCGTGTGCCGGCCTGCCTGCTCGTGGGTGCGTGCTCAGGGGGGCTGCCTGCAAGGGCAAAGGCAACCAGAAACTTCTGCCTTCAGGTTTGCCCTTTTCTGTCACGTTTTATAACGTCAGGAACATTTAAATGGTGGAGAATCGGCTTAGCACCGCCAGCCTTGGTGAGCTGTGATCTGATCCAGGATCGGTCTGTGTGCTGTGATCATCCTGCTTGGACCTCTGCCGTTTTGCTTTTGCAGCCTGGCCGTGTGTTAAGCTTGCTTTCAGATAATGTGGAAAGCTCTATGCCAAGTGCTGGGACCAGAAACTACTTATTTGTGTGCCTAAAGTTAGGTGGGATTTTTGAGCACCAGCTGCTGCCCCTCAGCATTCAAGCAACACACAGAGGTGCATGACAAACAAAAGTTTTCCATCCTAAAAAATCTTAACCAAACATGGAGGTAAGGATTTACCTCCTGGACATGAATTTCTTTTTCTGTGTCTTTCAGATAGAAAGAGATCAAATTCTTAATTTCTAGATATTTAATAATAACTGACATAAATTCCAGTTTCCCACTTTCATTCAGGGATTATGTCACCTGCTACTACAATGTAGTCAGCCTTAAGTGTTCCATGCTGGAGGATCACACAACCCACTGCTTGCAAAGACTAGCTAAAAATGAAACCACTGTAACATCCTGAAATTTGAAAACAAAACAACACATCAATAAATTTGCTTTCGCATTTTGAACTTCTAGATTTCATATTTGTGTTTCTTTATGTATTGTTACAAACTCATGGTGTTGAAGCAGAGGATTAAGTCTGATCTTTGAGAACAACAAGAGTTGTCAATCTTCTATTAAAGCACCTTGGGTTAATAATGGGGTAAAGCTCAGAGGTATGATTTGGAGTTTCTTGGCTCTTCTCTGTGTTTGACAGGCCAGGTTTAATTTTACATTGCTGTGTCTTTCCTGTAGCTTTCATCTGTGCGAATGCACACTCATTGACTCTGGGTTAATTAATTTTGGTGTTCATTTGCCTGGAGATCCTCTAGGCCCCAGGTTGATGCTGTGGCAGCTGCTGACACATTTGCACACACCAGAAGCACCTGAAGGACTTTATAAACTTCTGGGTGTTTTTGTGACAGAAACTAGAACAAGAAACATTTTCAATGGGTGAAAACTCAAAGTAAAGAAGGAAGAGAAGGAAGGAAGAGAAGGAAGGAAGGGAAGGAAGGAAGAGAAGGAAGAGAAGGAAGGGAGGGAAGGGAGGGAAGGGAGGGAAGGAAGGGAGAGAAGGGAGAGAAGGGAGAGAAGGGAGGAAGGGAAGGAAGGGAAGGAAGGGAAGGGAAGGGAAGGGAAGGGAAGGAAAGGAAAGGAAAGGAAAGGAAAGGAAAGGAAAGGAAAGGAAAGGAAAGGAAAGGAAAGGAAAGGAAAGGAAAGGAAAGGAAAGGAAAGAAGTAAGTTAGTTTTCTTACATCTCTCCTTTTAATGTGTGTTTGCTGGTAGGACCTTTCCTTTAAATCCAGCAGCTCCTTGTGACCTGTCCCTGTGGTCTCCCTGGGCCAAGGGGGATGTCTCCATCCATCCCTCCCAGGCTGGCCACCTGCCTGCAGCACCATCACCTGACAGTCTCCCTGTCTTTGAGGAAGGCACTTGTTTGTTGTCCCCTTCCTCTCCTTAAACCCTCCTCAGGCACTGAAAGTCTCCCTCCCTTCCCACCTCCCACACTGGCACGCTGTGCTGAGGCCGGGAAAAATAAGTCTTTTCCTGCCTTCTCCCTTTTAAAAGAGTAGGCACTGTTGCAGAGTACAGCCAAACAAACACTCCTGCTGCCAGAGGGGTCATTAACAGGCACTACAGGGCTTGCAAAATATGTCTGCAATAATTCCAGGCTCCTTGGTGCTGCCAGAACAGGGTTACGTGTCCTTAGTATGAGCAAGCTGCCCTCGTAAAAGGTGTTGCAGAAAGAGGCTTTAGGCAGTGTGAAAGCTCTTCATCTCTGCAAGGTCATTATCTTCAGGGGAGACTCTTGCAATGAGAAAATTCCTCCCCTGGATTTATCATTCAGACTGTCAAAGTGACCCTCATCTTTTTCTTAATTCCTTTCTTTCTTAATTCCTCTTTTCCTTAATTCCTTTTGTGTCAAGCCTTCCCTGGTTTTTCTCTCAAGTTCTGGGTAACACAGTAAAGTTCCACTGCTTCCAACCTGCCCTTTGCTTGGAGTTTGCTGCTTCTATTTTCCTCCCACAGAAGAACACGTGGGCTGGAAGAATTGCCTCCTTTCCCCCTTGTGTCATCACTGGGACTAAGAAAAGAAAGTTCCCCTGCTCTAATAAAATATTTAATCTCTCGTCTAATAAAAGATACCACCTCTTCCTCCTGAAGCTGCCTGGGGAGAGCAGTTTTGCAGCAGTCTGGAGTGGGCAGGGGGAATAACCACAGCCACCATGCAACATAAAACAGAGGGTGAGCTACTTACTGAGGGGTTCAAAGGATGTGGCTCCCCACTTCACCTGGCGAACGTGGTAAGAGTTAGTAAGGAATTTCAAATTCTTCTTGTCAGTTTGCTCATTAAGCAAACAGGAGAAGTTCAGTTAAACCCAGGAGATTGTTCTGCACTGTTGTAGGGACCTGTGGGACCTATAGCTCCTTCTCAGAGAGAGTGTTGATTTGGGACAAGGTGCTGTGTCCCAGGACTCTTGGCCTTTCTGTGTGGCTGGGTGAGGGATGCCTCACTGGGTTGCACTCCTGGAGGGGAGCAGGCTGGAGAAGGCTTTTGGTGGACATTTCCATAGTCAGTGTCCACAGCTGAGTCACTGAAGGTCTGTGACCGACCCCAGATGTAGAAGAGCAAAATGCTGCAGTCCCTGAGCTAGAGAGGGGACACGGCATTGGCCCTGTGTTTGTGCACCCAAGGGAGAGGAAACCCACCCAGTGCTCCCAGCAGGGCTCTTGGTGCAATGCAGCTGTCTCAGCTGAGCGTGGTTGCTTCAGTGCCCCTGGGGAATATGACTATTTCCCTGATTTCCTTATTTTGCTTTCTATATCTTTCTCTTGTGAATTTTCCTTAAAAGCTGTTTCAGGGCAGTAACCTGGGTGCAGTGCTGGCAGCAGAGCCTGCACTCTGTTGGTACCTTCCCATAAGACAAGGGAAGGTACATGAGCCACAGCTCGTTCCAAGAGGTGATTTTATTGCAGTTTAATGTTGATGTAATGACATATTTTGACAGATTAACAGTCTGGTTATTCAGGTGTCTGTCTGGGACAGCAGCCATTAGGAGAGCACAGTAACAGGGTGTAAAGGGCACACCTAGGTCAGAGAAAGCAGCCTCCTGCTTTTTCTTCACAGCTCCTGGTTTAGGGGTTTGCTAGGCTGGAATTTGCATCCAGATGATTTGACTAAATCTATTTTGTTACCCTGTGTCTAAGTTTGGCTTCACAGCAATGCACAGCAGTGAATCCATAATTTACTTATGACCCATATGAATAAAGTATTCTCTCTGGTTTAAACCATCTAACTCCTAATCTCAAGCCCATTAGTTTTTACATTATGAGAAACTGAGAATAATTACTATTTTTTCCCCTTTTCATGGGATCTAAGTCCACCTAATCTCCTTTTATTGAAATATTCATGCACGTTGTGCATCCCTTTGACTAGCTCAGAATATCCTGCAGAGATGGAATGGGCAGAAACACAATTGAAGATGCAGGTACAGGATGGGTTTAGATGTTTGTTGTCCTTTTTCCTCTCCTTTCCCAGCAAGATAAGAGCTCCAGATTAATTATCATAGAATGGTTTGGGTTGGAAGGAGCCGTAAAGCTCATCTCATTCCAACCTCTCTGCCACAACAGGGATACCTTCCACTATCCCAGGTTGCTCAGAGCCCCATCCAACCTGCTCTTGAACAATTCCAGGGATGGGGCATCCACAACTTCTCTGGGCAGCCTGTGCCAGGGCCTCACCACCCTTATAGTAGAGGATTTCTCCCTAATATCCAATGCAAACCTACTTGCTTTCAGTTTAAAGCCATTTATTAGCACTTGCATAATAAATTTTGGAGTCAGTTCAGAGTGTCATTATTCTAAGCCTTCTTCTGTGATATTTCTAGGTCTTATTGTTTAGACTCTCAAATGATTCCATATCATGAGTAAACTTTTAGTTCTTCTTCCAAGGAATGAATTTTAACACCACACAACCTTATGTCCCCCTAAAAGCTGTACTGGGCTCTTGAATTTTAACACCACACAACCTTAGTAGGGAGTTCTGTAACTTCTTATTTTAATTCCCCAAGAGTTCTGAATTGAAATATTTATCACTGCTTTACCCAGAACTTGTTTCAGTCTATTCTGTTCAATACTCCCTTTGAAACAAGGTCTCAGTCCATCACTCTCAGTGAAAGGCTCCAAGGTGGGACTTGTCTAACACTGATGCAATCCTACCTCAGATTCCTTCCCCACTCAGTTTCCTACACCTTGAATATTTCTCAGGCTCAGCAACACACTGGGAGACTTCCTGCATCTGGCATGCTCTGAAAAGGCTTTGTTGTTGGGGAGGCAGATTGCCTTTATTAGCTTGATTCTCAAACCTTTTTTAGTAGTTTAATTTTGCCTTGCATTTACCAAATGTCATATTTATTTGGACACAGTGTTCTGATTTCTATATTTCTGTAAGATCTGTGTTTGAATATCTGCCGTCACAGTGTTACTCTGTGAGGCTGACTTATTCTGGAGAAGGCCATCTATGGAACTTTCTTATTTCAGTTTTGATAAATATTGGTCTAATTTTAATGATTCTAAGTAGGTTGCAGGAAGTTGGATGAGATATAAATGCAGATTGTTTGTGTGGGTGTTTGCAGGTTACCAAGATGGTCACAGGACACATAATCAGTGCTGTCAGTGGAGTCCAAGGGCAGTTCAGCTCCCTCCAGAAACAGGTGTGCAGGAGATGGTCTGGTGAATTGGCTTTTAGGATCCCCTGACTGCACAGAATTGATTTCTGTTGTCTATTATGGAAGCTCAGACATCTTGCTCACATGTAATTACCTAAAATAAAGTGCTCCAATCTTTAATTGAGTGCGACCTTAATTGAATAATTAAGTGTTATTGCAGGCTTCTATTAGTTCAAATTTAATTTTATTTTAAAATTAGTTTAAGTACATTTTAATGTTAATTTAAAATATAAAAAATCTAATTTAAAAACAAGCACAGTACAAATTCGCTAATTTTTATCCAGACTGAGGATGAGGACATGGACATCAAAAAAGCTATTTTAGAAATTTAGCTATTACAGAGTCATAGAATCACAGATTGGTCTGTGTTGGAAGGGATCTTAAAGCTCATCTTGTTCCACCTCTCACCATGGGCAGGGACAAATTCCAGTGGATGGGTGCTCAAAGCCTCGTCCAACCTGGCCTTGAACACTTGTTATTAAAACAATATTTTATTTATTATCACCCAGAGAATTTGAACTGTCATTCCTTCTTTAATAATTTGCAGTTGAAGGACAGAATCAAAATTCAGCTGATGCCAGGAGGAATCTTTTCCTTGGCTTCAAAGAGCTTTTGATGAAGCAGGGTTTATACTACAGACACCGACAGCAAAATAAATGGTTAAAATCAATGGCATAAACAATGTGAGGAAGGTAGAATGATCTTTTTATGCCTGTATCTGACAGTCAGTAGATATTGCACATTTGCTTTCTAGTTTAGAGTATTTACAAATATCAGGAATAATTTTATCAATGTAGGAACTCAGAATTGAATGCCTGTTGCTGAAAGTTTCAAGAGGGCTTTAGGATATTAGATTAAGGGAAGATGAAAGAATGATGTATAGCATCAAAAAGCTTTCCTGAATGTCAGTCAATGTATTCTGCTCAAAGCTTGTTAGCTATTTTGATATTAGTCTCTACAAGAAAGAAATCATTGGTGTTAGGAGACAGGACAGGACAGGGAAGGGAAGGGAAGCTGAAATATTAAAATATATACAGGAGGGTGGAGTTTTTGCTAAAAACAGTGTAGACTGAAATAGTAGGATTTTTACAGTATTGGTACCTTGCTGTGGCAGCCAAGGGATGCAGTAGGTAATCCATCCCTTGGGTTCTCCAAGTCCACATATTGTTTAAACTGCAATGTAATTCAAATATAAAATGTTAATTAAGAGAAGGAATCTCTTCTACTCTGCAATTCCCTTGTGGTCATAAGTCTGCAAATTTTGGTCTGCTTCATGTTCACCTTTGTGCAGTTCTGAGCCAAGGTGTGCAGAGAGCAGGAATGGTCAGGTCCTCCCTGCTGAGCTCTCAGCAGCACTGAAGTCATGATGGGGCTCTTGCAAAATGTAACAGTGTACTGACTGGAAATCTTTCTTTGTTCCAGCATGGACCTGTGTTCACAATATTTGCTCTGGGAAAACGGTTCACTTTTGTGACTGAGGAGGAAGGAGCTGAAGCATTTTTTAAATCTGAAGACTTAAATTTTGAGCAGGCGGTACAACAAGCTGTCGAGAATGCCGGTAACTGAGACCTGTCTCTTTGTTAAAGGAAACCAAATCTAGTTACTCAGGAACATTAAATCCCAACCAAAAGCCTGTTGGTTTTTTTGATCATGCCTTAAATGCTTATTTTAATTCATGACCATGCTATGAAATGGTGAAATTCAATTTCTCCATGATGACCCAGTAACGTAAACTGGCTGAGGGATTTGGATTCAGTGTCAAGGAATCAGAAGTTTCTGATCTAGGGACTATTATTACTTTTACCATCCAGCAACTCCAGTTTGAGGTCAGGTCCTCTGCTGTGACTGGACACCCCACCTGCATGTACCCTGTTAAGAGCAGTCGTAGGTAATTCTATCACTTCACTGGAAAATCAGCTTGCAGCAATAATTAGTTGCTACACAGTAGTAGAGCAGTCATTAGAAAAGGATGACATCTTTATGAGGATGTACTGCTATAGCATGGAGACACAAACATTTTTTCTTTGGATAAATTATTTTTAACTTCATTCAGTTTTATGGTGCACCTGCACATCTCTGTACATCCCACTGGGGGGAAGTCTCTGGATTGTTGGTTCTGGCACTGAAGCTTCATGAAGCAAGATGTTACAGATTGGGAGAACAGAGCCATTACCGAAATCTTCACATGGTTACAAGGCAGCTTCCAGGGAATTTTACTTCGGGAAAATGAGGGTTAAGGCATTTAAATTAAAGTCAAAAGTTATGTGTAAAAATGTTCACTCTATCTTTCAGTGAAAAGTCTACTTTCCAAAACATTTCTGTTTCATTTTGTTTTTAGTCTCTGTTCCTGCAGAAGCATTTTATCAGAACCATGGTAACCTCTACAGCATGATGAAGGGGAAAATGAGTCCCTCTAATCTGCACATGTTCTCGGGCACTTTGTGTAAGGAGCTCCATGAGCACATGGCTCACCTGGGCACGGAGGGCACAGGTGACCTCAATGACCTGGTGAGGTAAGGGAGTTTTGCTGCACAGCTCGAACTCAGGGGTGTCCCACATGGGAGAGAATTGTTTTTGTAAAGCAGCTGGAGCCCAGTCTTACAAAGGTTTTGTCAGGATGCTCATCACAGCTTCATGGCTGCAGGTGGCTCACAGAGTGGACAGGGTTTCATGTAAAGGTGTTTCTCCCAGTTAGGAGAAGCATCTGAATTGCCTGTTTGGAAGAAAAAAGGAAACACCAAATGTTCCAACAAACCCTGTTTCCCAAAAGATGAGATAAAAGCTTCACATATTTATCAAGAACTTCGGAACAGACAAAATGCTTAATCTTCTGCAGGTTCAAACTTTTCATGTTTGAGCCAAGCTTAGATTGAAGCTTAACTAAGGCCCTCTGCCACTGACTTGGCTTCCAGAACTTCACATAAAAAAAAAAAAAATGTTTTATGTGACAGCAACAAAGCTTTTAACTCCTTTTACCTGATTATCTGGGACAGCACCTATATCTTGTCAGTCCATCGGTACTAAAAGATGAATATTCAGTGGAATCACAGAATGGATTGGGTTGTAAGGAACCTTAAAGATTCTGTTATTCCATCCCCTGCCATGGTCAGGGACACCTTCCACTAGAGCAGGCTACTCAGAGCCCCATCAAACTTGACCTTGAAGACTCCCAGGGATGGGGACAGCTATTGCCTTTGGTTTGGACCTGTTTCTAACACATTCAGGCTATCTTCTGCTGCCTTTTTCTGCATAATGCAGTAAGATACAGCTGTTACTGCAATTAAATCTCATCACCTCTCACTGCAGATATTGCAATTTGGATTAACTGGGGAAAAATGTGGGGGAGAGGGGCTTTGAAATCTGGTAGGTCAGCTCTGCTTTGCTAAATGAAGTATTGGAATGCAACATTGTGAATAATTGTTATTTAGCTGCCTCAAAATGAAATCCATACAGCCACCAGATGGCCCCCTCTTCCTAATTACAGAAAATCAGAAAAAGGAGTGCTATTCTCTGAAATACTCACTTGGCAGCATCTGGGACACAGCAAAGGCTGCACAAGAGTTTCTTGAGTACAGGAGAAGGGTCTTAGGAAGGAGTTTGCAGGATAGCAGAGGAGCAAGCGTGAAAGAGTGAGATGAAAAGGAACCAAAAAGGTGTTATCTGCCCAGGAAAGCTGCAGCCAGAGGAAGGATGTTTCAGGATGTTTGGTCCAGAGGGGTCTGTACAATGCCCAGAAGGTTCATGTGGGTCAAGCTGACATGAGAGGGGTGATTAATGGGGAGAAGGGGACCTCAGAGGCCAGAGCCTTTCTGCTCTTACTCATGAGACCAAACCCTAACTCGTGAAGTTCAGCCATGTGAAGAAGACCAGACTGAGGTCTCTGTATCTCCTGCCTCTGTTTAAAATCTGAAATAAGTGTGTGGGTGAGGTGTGAGCCATGTGCCAGCTCTTCCATACTGGTGTGACCCTTCAGTCCCACAGCTTCCAGGGCTGGCAGTCCAGCCTGCGTCCTGGTCTAAAACTCCTGCAACAGCTTCTCTGTGGCCCCTAAGTCTTGGGAATCTTGTCCTTGCAGGCATGTCATGTATCCAGCGGTGGTGAACACCCTGTTTGGGAAGGGCATCTGCCCAACCAGTCCGAGTGAAATCAAGGAGTTTGAAGAGCATTTTCAGAAGTATGATGAGGACTTTGAATATGCTTCTCAGATGCCCGAGTGCTTCCTGAGGTAAAGGGGCAGAGATGATGATTGTGGTGTACCCACTACAGACATTTATCTTGTTGCAGTATCAGCCATGGGAGACATTTCCCCTGGATGATGATGCCCAGTTCATATTGATGGTGTGACCTCAGGTGAAGTAGGCTTTTAGCTAAATGCTTCAAAAAAGTTCTGACCTTATCTTGTGTATTTTCCTGGTATAAAGCAGAAACAACCTGGCTTAGGTGAGCAGAGCCCAGCTTGGAACTGTCAGGGAGCAGCAGAATAGGGTGAAGGGCAAAGTCCTGAGCCTGAATGTTAGTCCCAAGCTCAGGGGGCCTCCAATGAGGTGTCTCTCTGCTCTTTTCCACACCACAGCTGTTTTCCCAATACTAGTCCCAGGTTACATGGCTGCACTGTCACAGAATTGACCTTGGGTAGAGACATCCAAACCCTGAGGAGGTTCTTCCAGACACTGTCGGTGGTCTCAGGGCCATCATTGCACTTTAGCACCTCAAAATGCCTTCAGAAGGAATTGAGGGTACTCTAAAAATGTGGCCTTGATTTTCTTCAAGAGGATCATTCTTAAAAAATTGGCCTAAGCAACCTGTCCAAATCAACAGTGAAAACCTGTCATTGAAAGGTATGAAAATGTAGGCATATTGCAGTCCCACGTACTGGCTGCAAGAGGAGGTCTGGCCAAGGTGAAGGCCTTGGATGTGCTGTTCCTCATGCCAGTCATCACTTCTGTCAGTCAGACTGACACTTGGCTGTTCACCAGCTGACTGCTGCCCAGGGGCTTTTGTAAAACAACTCAAGGAGTGCTTCTCATGGAAAAGGAAATGTTGGTTTGTGCTGCCTCAGTTCAGTGCTTCTTGTTTGTTGCTTTTCTTTACAGGAACTGGTCTAAATCCAAAAAATGGCTTCTAAAATTATTTGAGAAAGTAGTGTTGGATGCTGAAAGGACCGACCCTTCAGAGACTGCCTCCAAGGTAAACATCCGAGGCTAAGAAACAAGATGACTTTGTCGTATATTCTGACTGAAGTGATGGAGGGCAGGAATTACTTTAGTACTGGAAGAAATAAGTCAAATATGCCAGCTTTTATAGCTATACCCAAATGTTCCAGTATTGCTGTCACCTGCAGTAGGACAGACCCATAACTTTGACTCCTGTTCCTCCATTTAGTTTATTTCAAGCAATTCTGAGAATTAACATCTTCCCCTTGAGAATTTTCAGGCAAGGGTTCAGAGCTATGACCCATCCCCAGTCTGCAGTATCACACTGCAGTGAGCAGTTGAAAGAAGTGAGAGAAAGACCCTTCAGTTGTTTATCTGAGGGCACCGTGCTGTGAAACTTCCAAACCCTACATGTGCTATTTATAAAGCCTGGTGTAGATTGAGCAGATCCTTCAACAGCCAGACTGGTAGAAAATAGCAGATTACTGGATTGGGAGCCAAGTACCCTAAATACTGATTGTGTCAAAGCTGAGATAAATTGTTCCCCTGGTTATTCTCCTTGGCTCTGGCAGGAATTCTGCTGATAGGGCTGACAAACGTGACAGCAGACTGGCCTGGGAATTTTGATCTACCAAATGGTTGTAGAACAGACCATTAAACAAAACAGGTTTTATTTAGACTTCAAAAGCTTTACATACCATAATTTCTTGAATAAAATAAACCAGATTAGCAGAAAGAAAGAGAAGGCTGGAGAGGAGCTGGTGGGAGGTAAGAAGGTGCAGCAAGTAGAAAGCACAAACTTGGGCATCTTAGATTGGATGGGAATTTGGAAAAAAATCAGCCATTTTTTATTCAAGGTCAACCTTTTCCTCCTCTGAAAAGTAGGCAGGAAGCTTTGCCTCAAGTGCATGGTTGCCCTGCATTTAAGGAAATATTATAAACAAAAGCTGATCCTAGAGCATTACACAGTTGCTATAGTTTCAAATAATATCAGCCCATTGAAGTCACTGCTTAGGTCACCAACGAACTGCCTGAAACTAGGGAGTTTGCTGATATGTCAAACCATCTCTTTATAGGAAGCACTTTTTTGGCATGAACAGAAAGAACATTTTCTTCATTTCCATTCATTCAACTGGCTCATTCCCATTTTCAGGTTCTTTAAAACAGAGGTGTAGAACAGGGATTAGAATAGAGATTTTTTTTTCCCTGTTTTCCACACACAAGCAACAATGGGGAGTGAGGAAAACCAGTCCTCTAAAACTTTAAGGAAATAAAGAGCAGTGAAAGTATTCAGGAGGGATTCATGTGGCGCACTGAGTTTTCCTGGACCTCTGCCTGTGTGAGTCTCACTTGCTCTTAATAGCTGTCACTTCTACAATGCGCCTTCCAGAAAAGCCATAACTAACATTACTTCTCTTTGAGAAACTAGTCCTCGAGTTCTAGTAAGCCCTGCCACAAACTACATTTTAATATATTCTTGGAAATAGAATATTTTCTTTTATTCCAACAGACACTTCTACAACATCTCCTGGATAATTTACAGGGAAAACATCTAGCTCCCAATTATGGTCTCCTGATGCTCTGGGCTGCCCAAGCAAATGCTGTGCCTGTAAGTACATCAGTTACAGAAACACCTTCTCTCTCTCCTGTTCCAAAGCCTGGATTTGGGAAGGAAAGGCTTTGAAGCAGAGGTCACACACACTCAATGGATTCCAAAGAAGGGATTATCACGCCCACATGCATCACTCCAAATATACCCAGGCTGCAGTGTCACAGAAGCAATGACAAGAAAAGCTCTTCATGTATTTTTACTAAATTATGTTGTCCCCTGTCATAACATTTCAGGAACATAAGCCTCACAGCTATTAAGATCACAGTCTTAAGCTGTGAAGAGCATTTAACTCTGTTTTGAAGCACTGTGGCTGTATTATAGAAAAGACTATTTCAGATACCCCGGTGTTACCAATTGTAAAGAATATCAAAAGCATAATAATAGAGTAACTTCTTTTGTGTGTAAACCCTAGAGTGATTTTTTTAAAATTTTTTTTTCATTTTTGGGAGATCTGCTGTATAAACGCCAGTGGAAGAAAAGCAATAGTTTGATTGTAGAGCTGTTAAGTTTTCTGTGTTAGAAAAGGATTTGCTGGATTAATGATACTGATATAAGTATGCTAACAAACCCAATATATCTAACACAGCTTAGGCTGACCAAAGACATTTATAGAAATTTCTCAGATGAAAAATCCATAGCAGCAAAAACATCCTTTATTTACCATGACTACTAAGCTCTTTCCAGCAGAGTTATGTCCATTACAGATGTGATTTAGAAAAACATGATAGTGAGTTATTTTTATATGTCCCCCTAACGGATATATCTATGTTTTTTGGAGATTGGATATTGCTGCAGTTTAGCCTAAGGGAAATGCATCCATTTCGGTGAGGTTTCTGTGGATTCACGTGTTGGCATTAAGTGGGAGGCATAGCCTGCTGTCTGTTATCAGGATAACTGACATTCCTTCCACAACACTTACTTCTGTAATATTCAGCTGTAAATAGACATACAGATATTTTTCTGTTTCTCAGAATAGTCACAACCACTGTTCTGGGGAATGGAATGACGAAAGAAAAGTCCTTTCACCTTCCAAGGGAATTTTTTACAAGCACTTTAAACCCTTTTATCTGAAACAATTCAGTTATCCCTTCTTAGGCCACGGTGTGAAGCCACAGTGTCCAAGCACTGTACAGGAAAGCTAAGCTACAAGATTTGCTTTGCAGAAGGAGGGCTGCATCCATGTCAGTCTGTTTGGGAAATGACAGTCAGAGTTTCATCCTTCACCAGCACAGATGGCCCACGACGAGATCTGTGTGCAGGCTGCACCTCCTGCTAGCTCAGCAAGAGGAGAGAGACTCCTGGCATTGCTGCCAGTCCTTCTGGTTTCATCCTACTTAAGAGGATTTTCTCCTTTCCTAAATTTCTTGATTTTCAACTTCATTGCATAATCAGTTAGCAAATTATTTCTAAAGGGGATATACTACTCCTTGTTTTGCTGTTAATTAAAACTTTTCCTGCCCATTTTAGTGTGACTCACTATGACAATGCCCTGAAAATTATTTAACTGCATTTTTGTAAATGCTAGTATGAATTTATTTTTTTTTTCATTCCTTCAGCTAAAACTAATCATTCACGATGATTTATTATTTCATTTAACACCTTATTTGAAAATAAAGGATTCTGTGTTTCAAAGCTCAAGGCCAAAGCTATATAATGTTCACTAAAGATAAATACACAGCAGATGACTAGACATAATCTCCTAGGAGCTGAGCCCTTAGATATGGATTTACCCAGGAAGCACAGCTCCCTGGGCAGCTCAACTACGACAGGAAAATACAAAAAAAGTGCAAATGTTTTCACCTGCCTCTGTGATTTGATACAAAGATACTGTCATTCTGTTCCATGTCCCTAAATTCAAGGATTTCCATTTCTGTTTAGGTTGCATTTTGGACCCTTGCTTTCATACTCTCGAATCCTTCCATTTACAAGAAAGTCATGGAAGACCTGGCTTCTGTTTTTGGCAAAGCAGGTAATAAATCTGATTTTGTCCTTCTGGAAGCTGGAAGTGATTTATCCTGTGTTGGCACAGCTTGGTCAGTGGCTGGGAACAATGAGTGTTCCTGCTAAGGGTGCTACTGATAGCAGAGAGTTGAGCTCTCAGGTCTTTACTCAGTACATGCTCAAGATGTATTTTTAAGCAGAACACCTCTGATGTTAGCAGAACGAAGCTGGGAAAAGAACATTATGTGTTTGTTTCTTCATTCCTATCATTTAAACTTAGATTTGTGTTTCTCAGTCTTGTGCTTTTTCCAGGCACATACTATAGGGTAAGATGAGGTCTTTCAGTTCAGGTGCTTTTCATGGTTTGCTGTTCACCAGAGTTACAGCTATTCATGGAAAAAACAGGCCAGGAACTGTTCTCTTTTCTGTCATCAGAGGCAAATTTTTCCAGCTTGGTTCACCCCACATGAGTAACCTCTTTCTCTCAAAAAGCAGTCACCTATTGGGAGCAGTTGTTCCCATATGCAGTCCCTTGGAAAAGTGTTAAACTTTCACAGAAGACTCTTTGTTGACATGGGTCAAAACTGTATCAGGAAACATGTCAGTAACTAACCAATAAAGAAAATTCATGCAGCCTTTCTCTTGGCCTTGTTTCATTTGCTAATGCTAACAAGGCCCAAGAGCTCAGCCATGGCTTCTTATCTTGGTGCCTACAATTCCTGAGATTTCCATGCAGTGTCCTATGAAAGCACAGAAGAACTGAAGACTTTTAACTTCCAATGTGACTTTGGCTCCTTCTGTCTAGCACCATATCTGCACCAACCTTAGAGTTATTGAATTATGTTCAGTGGCTTTTCTTAAAATTTACTGATTTGGGTCCATTTATTTACTTAGAAATATAGAGACAATTTTTGGAAGTAAATAATGCCTTGAAGTCTTGAAATATTTCACCCACAGTCCTAAAGCAAGACATGACAGCCTGTATCAAAACAAGTATGAAATCTAATTTTTACATGGGGTCTTCTTTCTCATGCCATAACAGGTAAAGATAAACTGGAAGTCTCTGAGGAGGCCCTGAAGAAGATCCCTTTCATTAAATGGTGCACTTTGGAAGCCATACGGTTGAGGTCTCCAGGTGCAATCACCAAGAAAGTCATAAACCCAATTAGAATTAAGGTGAGGTTTGGTTGTGAGGTTTTTTTCCCCCCCCCAAAGGATGCTGTGTGATTTGTCTGGAAAGGGTCCTTCTGATAAATCTGGGTAAAATTACAGTGGTAGAGATATTCCCCAGCCTCCCATATATATTGTTTTTAATAGATTTATTTATCATCATTAATTTATGAGTGGTTTGGATTCTCCAGCCCACAGTCTTGCCTTCAGTTTTGAATTAAGATTGAATTGAATTGAACTACAGATACTGATGGCATATAAAAGGAATCAGACACAATAAATATAGTAGAAGGAACCACATTTTAGTAGCTGATAAGACTCCTTTTTGTCCTCTTCACTACCATTCAGAAAGGAGGTGTCAGCATCCAGGAATCTGGCAAAGAAATGTTTGGGGGAAACCCCGCACTCTTAAGGAGTCAGTGCTCATGATTATTTAAGATTACTCATAAAATAACTAATATCTATTGTTATAGAAGGCTTTCTTTGCATTTCTTTGCATTGAAGGAAATGTTTAACAGATTTTTTAGAAAAAAGAAAACAGCTCACATGGTAAATGAAGAAGCAGGAAAGACAGAAGTAATGCTTCTGATTTTTTGATACCTAAAAAAAACCAAATCAGAGCACAAATAATCTTTCCACCTTCTCCACTGTTTAGGTTTTATGGAAAAAAATAGCAACAGCAAGAAGAAATTTTGAACATGTAATATGGCCACCATGGCTTTATCACCTTCACTTGTATTTTCTTAGGATCTTCCACTGATGGAAGTACCAAGGAGGGACTATTTTGTGAGATTTTTAGCTCTTTTCTTAGAGATTTTTCTCTTTTTCAGAATTTCACCATTCCTGCAGGTGACATGCTGATGTTGTCACCATATTGGTTGCACCGGAATCCAAAATATTTTCCTGACCCAGAAACATTCAAACCTGTAAGTTGTCTCTCTTAGTGTGCATATTTTGCTGTCTTTTCTCCCTTTCACTTATTTTACAATAAAAGCATATGGACAAACATGCTTAAATCTGGCTGGAGAATGGTCTTGAATACAGAGACATAAAGGAGAAGCCTGTAGGAATAAAAAATACTTTTTAATTCAGTGACATGTTCCAGGTAATGTGGTACTACTTTAATATCCCTTTGATCCTCATCTTATCACTGTCTGTAACTCCCTGAAAGCAGAGTGCAGCCAGGTGAGGATCAGTCTTTTCTCTTAAGTAACAACTGATAGGATGAGAAGAACCAGCTTCAAACTGTGCCAGGAGAGGTTTGGACTGGATATTAGGAAAAATTTCTTCACTGAGAGAGCTGTCAGGAAATGGAACAGGCTGGTGGGATCACCATCCCTGGAGGGATTTAGATGTGTAGGTGTGGCACCTGGGGATGTGGATTAGTGGTGGATTGGCAGTGCTGGGTTAATGTTGGACTTGATGATCTTAGAGGTCTTTTCCAACCTAACCAATTCTGTTATTCTAAGTATTCTCCTCTCCCTGTTGGATGATTTCTTGTAGGTATTATCTCTGCTAATTCAGTAGTTAATCTAGTTTCTTGATTATTATTCCACTGCAGGTGGCTGTGTGGGCAGGCTTGTAACTGCTCTTTTTAGCACCATCCAATATAGAACAGTTTGTTTTTTTTATAGAAATACATTAAGGAGTAATTTAAACAAAATTTCCCTTCTAGCAAACTCTTCCCAATTTGAAATCCCTTTTAACAGTTCCTGCTTCTTTGAAATCTGAAGCTGAAATTCTGATGCAGCAGTTTATTTTTTAGGAACTCTTCCTTTTTTTAAAGAGGAATAGGTGAGTACCCCTTGAACATTGTCATTCCAAATGTATGACCTTGCTTCATCACCACTGAGATTTTTTTTTCTCTCTTTATTGGATTTTAATGCTGACAGGTTTCTTCCTCAGAAAGCTCTAAACAGCCCTAGCTGAAAAAAAACCCCTAAAATAGATAAATGCAAGATTATGTCTTCTCTGGGACAGCTTCATCAGAGGAGTTTGCCACCAGAAGCTTGACAGGGTGTTACTTGGCAGAGTAGCACTGAGTTTGTGGAGGCTGGTACAGTTTGTCATCCAGCAGTCATGAGATTTGCTTCTCTCAGTGTCACCCACCAAAACTTCAGCCCATATTGCCTTGTTCCTTGTGTTGTCCCTTTCCTCTCAAAGCAGTTTAGGATGGAGCAGGGATCCCTTTGGGTACAGAGAAGCTGTTTTTTGTGGAGAATCAGTCATCTTCTCACACACCGGCTTACACCAGCTAAAGCTCATAGACCTTGCATTTGTCTGTGCAGAGTGTCTTAGAAAATCTTTTCTGTGGAAGGTGTGTGTGAGCTATGTGTGTGTCATGGCACAGTTTTGTCATTTGACAAAATGAGTGGCTGAGGCTTCCCTCAGTACTGGTTGAACATTTGCATTTGTAGATATATTTTAAAAGAGAAGGTTGCATTTTAATAGCTTAAGATGCAGGATTTAGGAAATGAGGAGGTATAGGAAAACTGCTTTAGGGGTGATTTTGAAAACTTCTCCAGCATTTTAAGGCACCTAAATATGTTTCAAATGGGACCCTAATTTCTTTCCCTGATTTGGTGTTGACTTTTGGATCCAGACTCTAATACCAACAGGTTGAATGCAAAAAAATGGTATTAATGCAACTTTGTATTGAGGATTAGCTGTACAAGGTCATTTTTAGCTTGGAGAAATAAAGTTAAGCTTTATTTATATAAGGCTGATTTGGAAAAAAAAAGTTTCTTCCCACAGGATCGTTGGAAAGAGGCAAATTTAGAGAAGAATGCTTTCTTGGACAGCTTTGTGGCATTCGGAGGAGGGAAGCATCAGTGTCCAGGAAGGTCAGTGAAACAGCTGGGGTTTATTTATTCCCAAACCCTGCAGAGAACAACTCTCTTGAACTGGGCTTCTCTTACTCTTGGAGATAAAGTGTTTGCTTTTCTCTTTGTCGGTCTCCTAATGTTCAGCATCATCTGCACCTTGTTTAAACTGTTCTGAAAATAATTTAATTCCTGGAAAAGACAGGTGAAGTCACAATGAACAGGCAGAATCTGAGACCAGTGTATGAAGGAATATTGCCCCCCACCCAGGGAGGAAATTCAGCCTGGCTCTGCCCCTGCTGAGGTTTCTTTTCATCACGGGAGAGTTGCTCCACTTCCAAACACACCATTTTACAGACAGTTATTTAGGTTGCCTTAAACCAGTTCTAAAAAAACCTACAGAACATTTCTCAGGTCTGAGACTCTTTCCATTCTCTGTGATGCCATTGACATCTCTGTTGATCTTCAGGTATCTTGACTGACTCCTCTCTGTTTGAATCTGGTCTTTCCATTAGGGCACACAAAATTGTATTATGGCTTAAACTGCAGGTCCTGTCTCACTTCACTCCTCCAGTAATGCCAGCCTTGGTACTTCCTGCATTCCTTCTGCTGTTTTCACTGCTGTCCCTCTTCCTGGAACAAGTCCCAGGGAGCCAGCTGCTCCTTGTTCCTGTGTTCAAACATCTCTGTGCTCAACCCTCTGCCTTCAAAAGTTGGGCTTCTCTGAGACAAAAGTGACCAAGAATCCTTAAGCCCAGTCATTTTACTTTGAGTTCTGCATGGAGCAAGGAATCTGGAGGGTGTGGCAGAGGATCTGCATTTTGGAATCTCCACCCTATGGCAAGACAGACATGAGTGCCAGATAAACTTTGTGAAGGCATTAGCAAAATGAATAAAACTGGTTTCACCATTTAGGCTTGCCAGAGGGAAGTGCTCACTTACTGCTGTACCTCGGTAGCTTGTACCACATTCCTGAGCTAAATCTGAGCACAGCCTCATTCCCAGCAAGGGCAACAGCAACATTCACAAGAGGCATCTGCAGGTACAGGGAAAGCTGCAAAACAATGTTTCTGAAAGTTGCTTGTTTGTATATCCTGACCCATATCTTTGTTCAGGCTGTTCTCTGGACTTGATAACATCTTTCAAATAAAATTTTGTTCAGAAAGAAAAGTATAACATTTCTACACAGACAACAGATGGAGAATCTTTTTCTTGCTGAGAGACAAAAAAGCCCTTTCAGACCCTTTGGCAGGCCACATGGTAACACACACTTTCAGCTTTTTCAGCAATAATTGTAAAAGAATAATGTGATGGTCTTGGAAAAAAAAAGAAAATTAAATCAAGGGTTGTGGCAAGGATTCCAGGTTGCAGATTTCCTTCATATGACTTAAAGAAACAATGATATGTCAAGTTTAGGATGCATTTTTATTTATCTCAGTATTGAGGTCTATAAATGAAATGTATGAAACATTTAATTTCTCCATTGCAAAAGTTCAGCATAAAATTAAAAGCTAATTTCATCCAATTGAAAGCTAGTAAATAACTTATCTGTCCAATATTCTACTGAACTGATGTGGGAAGAGCTCCCAAAAAGCCATTTCTGTGTCATGTTTTTTACCTAAAATTAAAAATTCATGTCAGTTTGACTACTTTGGTCAAACCAGGTGGTTATTGCCTGTGTGACTGTGCTTGTCTTGCATGGCTGTGTTGTCCCCTCTGGGTCCAGGGCCCTGCTGTGCAGAGCTGGGACTGGAAGGGATTTTGCATGGTGCTGCAGGCTTGGAGCTTGGGCTGCATCCCACCTGAGCTGGGCTAATAGCTATCAAAATATCTCTGTACTGGACTCACCTGAGCCAAGGCCACCAAAAGCTCAAGGCAATTCCAGAGTGAAATCATGGGGGTAATTTGGATCTGAAGCTGATCTAAACAAGCTGAAACAAACAAGGATCTTCCTACTCCAGAGCCTGGGGTGGGTCCATGAGCAAAGCCTGGTGGCTCTGCAAAAGTTACCTTGGGTCTGTGAGGCTTTTTAGCTTCCCTTCATACCTGCCAGGCCAACTCCATGTACAGTCATGTAGTCTCTTTCCCTGTGAATTCCCCCACAGATGTTTTATCCAGGTTTTCTAGCATTTCTCTGTAGAAGAGCAAGGTGGTAATTCTATTTTAACAGGGTATTTAAGACTTATGTCTAAACTCTGCAAGTGAGTAATCCCATGACCTCACATAGGTCCACACTGGTGAATGCAGAAAACTCTTGTACACATCAGCATTAAAAACCAATAGCCTGGAGGATTTCACCTGCAGTTATCCAAAATCTTCTCTGGCCTAAGAAGGACCTTTGGGAGAGTGTAACAGAAAAAGGAAATTGTGCCCTTGGGTCTTCTACTGCATCCTAATGGTGACGCATTAAATAATAACTCCCACTGTCACCGCTCTCTGATGTCACCAGGCTCCCAGCTGCATTATATAACTTTATATAGCACGATTAGTCATATGGCCTTTTCTGTGTTTGACTGCCTTCTCACTCCTAGGAAGTTATTTCAAGTCAGCAAGTGTTAGGAGAACATAAATGTTTATACAGTGGAAAAATCCATAATGATAAGGAGCTGGTTTAAAATAGGTGTCAGAGGGATGCTGTCAGTCCAGTGCTTCACCAGAAAGAAGGGGCAGCTGCCACCTTTGTGTTCTTTGCTGGGTAACAAACCCAAACAAACTACAGCAGTTTTCCTATGGAAGACAAACTTCCAGGCAGAACTAAAGCACAGAGTGTAAAATGTATCAAAGACACCCTGTTTCTTACCTGATGACAACACACATGTGATGGTCAGTCTGGAGGGCCAGTGTTTTCCTACCTTTTCTTGCAGGTGGTTTGCAATCATGGAAATCCAGCTGTTTGTTGTGCTGTTCCTGTACAAGTATGAATTTTTGCTGTTGGATGCAGTGCCAAAGGAGGTAAGAGATCCATGTATTTGTGCAGCATTCCCCATCTTTATAGCCTTCATTCATCAGGCTCAGCTGAACAACCATGTTTAACTGTGGTTACATAAATTTTGAGAGTAGTATCATAAAACATGTAACGAACAACTCTTATCTTTTTTTTAACTCAGAAAATCCAGAGTAATTCCAGCAATTCCAGTTAGTGGGGCTGCACTGTCTATACAACAACGTGCTTACAAGAATGTTTTGTTTCATCATTGCCTAAACATGACCAGAGATTTGATACTTACTGCTCACAAAAACAGTAAATATGGAAGGGGATCATTAATAATCTAAAAATATGTAATCACATGTAACACTCATAGTGCTCTTCCACTACATATTCAGGGGTTGGAGGTAAATGATTAGGGTAAGACTGAATGAGCAACTGTGACACAGAAAGATTTTACACTTAAGGGAGAATGGCACAGTCTCCACTTCATTATTTGAGTATTTTGAAAGTATTCAAAACTGCAAGTTTCTTAAGAGCTCATGAGTCACCCTGGCAGAGTGACTGGAGTAATAATTAACTATGAATTAACATACTCAGTGGATTTGGCAAAGCCAAAAAATAATTCTTGGTATTTGGTCTTGGTTCTCTAAGACCGAAGATACAAGAATGTTTATATTTTAATGTTAAAGCACAATGGTAATTACATTAACTGCACTAACTGAAGTGTTTCTTCTGATTTTCTTCTTTCTTCAGAGCCCTTTACATTTGGTGGGGACACAACAACCCATGGCACCGTTACGGGTCCGGTATAAATGCCGGGAATGAAAGTTGTGCAGCACTGACTTTTCTTTGCCAGCCCAGACTGGAGGGATGAACCACTGAGCTGCTTCCCAATCCCACATCTTCAGGCAGGTTCTCTGAGAGTTCTTGATTTCAGCTTTCAGTGCTGTACACTGTGCTGTGCCAAACCAGTGCAGTTGTACCTGTGCTCTCCTGTGGCTGCCCACCTCCCAGTGCTTCAATCCAAGCTCGCCTGCTGCATTCATAATTTGTGGGTCAGTTATTCACAGACTTTGCAAATCTGATATACTAAACTCACCAACCAAACATTCAGGACAAAAAGCTGCAGTAATCTGGAAATCCTGCATGGAAGCTGTGCCAGAACCAGTGGAGAAGCAGCTCCCTTGGCCAGGTCACTGCTTCCTGCAGGGTGCTTCAAACGAAGGCCAAACTGTTGCCTCTTGCTAAGAAATCACATTGGTAACAACAAACAGACTGATGCTGGTGTGCACAAAATCCAGGACAGTCTGACAGAGACCTCTGGATCAGCTCCACATCCTGATAAACTGCAGTGACTTGTGTATCACTGCCTGTGTGGGCAGGTGAAGGTCTGGCCTGCTCTACCTACAACCAGTGCCAACTTATTGCAAATAAAATGAATTTGTAATGGAAAAATTGCAAGCGTTTGGGATCTTGTTCCACTGAAGCAAGTGCCTAAAATTTCTGCTGAGCTTTGCTCCACAGGATTCAGAATCAGTCCTTGCATGAATTTGCAATAAAAGTTTGACTGTAATGTTTGCCTTCCAATAAAAAGTGATTACAAGGAAAGCTGTTCCTGCTCATGAGCCTGGTTGTGTAATATCTAGAACACTTTTGCTTTCCCTACCACAGAGTTATAGAACAAAATGCACCAATATAAGAATATTTAATCCTGTAAAGAATACTGAGTAAAAGTTGTTTGAAGAAGCTGTCAAACAAGTTCAGGTACCAACACTTTTACTGCTGTCAGATTTCATAGACAATAATAGCTGGCATGTATTTTTAGTCTTATAAGTAAAGATTATTCATAATTTAAAAAGTATTTACAAAAAAAACCCCTCACACAAATAGTTTCAATAACAGTATAAACTATGGGAATAGCATGCACAGGAAAATAACACACTGTATAATTCCTTACATGGTTGACTTACCTTTGTGATGGATAGAACAACTTCAATGATTGATATGTCTGGAAAATTATTCAACCAACTTTTAATTTAGCCCATAATGGTTAACTGTGCAAGAGCTGCAATCCTTATTGCTGTACCAGTGTCTCCTCCATAACTGAAAGCCATTCCCTTGGATTTAATGTGTGGTATTACCTGGAAGTGTATATTTTAATTTTAAAATTTGGAAATTACTATAATATTTTTAAGGCCAGGCTGGATGGGCCTTAGAACAACCTGGTCTAGTGGAAGGTGGCCCTTCTCATGGCAGGGGATTGGAACTGGGTGATCTTTAAGGTCCCTTCCAATACAAACCATTCTATGACTCTGCGATGATTTTTACAAATATTTTGCACTCACAGACCTTCACCCCAATCTGCCAGAGCAGGATGAGGCCACTGGTGGTGTTTGTCTGAGTGCTGAGTGTTTCTGTCTGAGCTGGCCACTGGAACCATCAGTGCATACACACATTTTACACATCTGTGGATGTGTCTGCTGAACCTAGGGGTGTGGAGCTGCAGCAGCCTCATCTCTGTGGGGCTACTGAATTTAGCAACTCTCAATCAGACTAGAGTCAGCCATGAAAATATGAGTCCTGAAAGGCAGGACATATCTTATTAGAAATGCAGGCTTTTGGCACAAAAGAAATACCTGTTCATGGCAGAGATGAAGAAAAGTGGGCCTGACTATGGGATCCTATCACTGCCCTGTGGTGGATGACAGCTCCAGGCACTTCCTGTACTTTCCAAGGTGGAAAAAAACAAGGGAGGTGGATTAGTAAAGCAATGTGGTGGTGAAGTGATAGAGCTAAAAGGGGTCTTCTGCCTGGAAATAATCCAGAAACTTCTGGGGGAGTGAAAGGCTTTCCCATGGGACAGGGTTAAATGGGCATTAAAAGCTCATTGCAATACCATGCGCAGGAGTGGATTATGAGTACCTAAATTATTCCTCTTCAAGTGCTTGTCCAATCTGCTTAAATACAGCAGTACCAAATTTCCATGGGAGATCTGTCCTCTTACCTGACTCTCCCTGCTGTGAGAAAGCTGTCCTACATATTAGTAGCAGGAGTCAGGGTAAGGTTTTATCCATGCCATTACCACAAGACTATAAGAAGCCAAAGATTTGTAAGCCCACAGAGAAATAAAATGTATTTCAAGCTACCTTTTTTTATTTTTACCTTCTGTATGAAGTCTGGATGTTAAAGGGAAAGCAGTGGAGCATCCCTCAAAAATCATCTTAGAAAATGTAATTGTTCCTCCTCCAGACATTAGGTAAAGACTAGATCTACCTGATAAATTTCAGTGTTGAAAGTCAGTGAAACCATGGGAATAGTTGTCTTAATGAGACAGGAAATCTAGTGTTACAAGGAATGAGAAATGAAACTCTGTTATATGAATTTTCCTTTAATAATTGTGTATCAAAGAAGTGTTTCAGAGAAAAAAAGAAAAAGGAAACTAGCACATTCCAGCCAAATATTTTTTTATACTTTTGAAGAGAGTATAATCATTTCCCCTGAAATCATGAATTTCCTGTGGAAACACAAACCTCCTGAAAACATTTTGAGTTAAAATTGTTGACCTCCTGTAAGTGAATCTTCTCCAGTCAGCGCAGTGAAAAGATCACCCACAGTATCAGCAGCCACCTCCCAGAATAATCACAACTTCTTTCATGTCTTCCCTCTAATGAGCCTTCCCTAAGGCTGCTCTCAAGTAAAGTATTTCAAGTGGTCTTTCACTTTTCTGTGCCACTGATTGTCACAGAATCCAGAAGTTTAGGCTCTGTATGTACACCTCAGAATAGCTGTCTGGGGACTAAAAGATAGTGCTGTGGCCACTGAGAGGTGGGCTAAAAATAATGACTTCCCCTCAAAAAGAAATTAATTTTAAGGCCCTTGCTCTGTGTGGGCTTAAGGACTGTGCCAAGCAAAACTTGACTTAAGCATGTGTTTTGCTTTAAACAAACACTTAAAATGGATCTGGGGAATAAGAATGGATTTTGATTTAAGCACAGGCTTAAGTGCCTTGCTGAACCAGGGTCCAAAAGCCTAAGTCCCTAACCCTTGTTTACAGTTAGTCTTGGCATCTCTGTTGCAATTTTAAGGACGTACAAAGGTTGGTGGAAATACTGAGGTGGCTTTACTCATTTTAGGTGAGCCTGGCACACATGAAAGGATTTTAGGAAGCATTTATAGCCCAAACCAGTAGGCTTTGTTGGCAACAAGGATCTTTCCCAGTTATTTGGTACATTCTAAATGCATGGCTCATCACACTGCAAAAAATACTCCCTGTCTTCCATGTGGTAGAAGGGGAATTGGACACAGGAAAGGCATTCAAAAGATAGCAAGCACTTAATTGCAACAGCCAAGGAGAGGCTTTCATCATGTGGCCATTCTGGATGACATTGGACATGCGACTGATTGGCACAGCATTATTTGGGTTTTTCACTTTGATCATAAAATTACCAGGAAAGGCTTAATGGAGTTATAAATATCTTGTTTCCATGAGAGTCCTGGGAGGATAATTATAGCACTGTAGTCTTTATAAAGATAGAGCATTTATAAAATGATATTATCTGAGGTCTCCAATGGATAATGCAGGGAATTCTGCACTCTATTCCCAGCTCCCCTATTGACTCACTGTGCTCTTTGGGTGAATCACTTCATCCCTGTTTCCTCACGCTGGGGTAATAATGACAATTACGCACTGCTGCAAAGTCTGTATGGCTTAAAAGGTGTAAGTTTTGTTCCCACTCATCAGTGCACTCCTGCTTGGTTATTGATAGCAATGGCTGTCTGGAAGGCTTTGGATGAGCTATCTTTTTTCCAGATGTATGCTACTGGTAAATGACACTACTTCTAGAGTTACAGTCAAAACACTCAAGAGAAATATTTTAAATCTCTTAATTCAGTTTTTAAGAGGATGATGAAGCAGCTGTACCCCACAGTCTTCAGAAATACTTTGTTTTTAATGCAAAGCTTGGCATTTAAAGACTATGGACAAGTTTCTTGTCAAGTGAAAAGACAACTTCCTTTTATAAAACCAAGCCCTATGGAGGAGCATTATCTAGAATAGATAATTATAAAATGAGTAGCATCTGCCAGTGAGCAGGAAGTACAGCTATACTCTAACATTCCTAGCTGCACTTTTCCCACTCTAGGTATGCCATACATCATCTTTCCAGCTTTGAAAAGGGGAAGTGAGGAAGGAGTGATGGAAAATGACTGTCACATGGGATACTTTGCTTGAAGACCCTAACATGGATTTTAGTTAAAAAAACAAAAATGTCAGTGCTTGAGAGAGATCCTGCATCTCCCATCAATAGTGCTGTAACAGCCCTGGCTGTGATTGCAAACGGCTCCTGATAAATTTGAGAGAGATCAGAGCTCTCCAATAGTGGATGGGCCTTTGGAGCTTGCTGTGCCTTTTTTGCAGTGGGCTGAAATGAAAATGAACAGATTCTGACTGCAGATGATGAAATGGAATTGATTTACCAAGCACTGAAATGACATTTCTATATGAATAGTCCTGACAACAAAATTGCCCATTTTTCCATAATAGAAGCTCTTGCTGTGAAGTCTCTGCATTCCTGGGGTGAAGGGAGGAGGAAAAGGCAACCTCATTACTTTTCAGGAATCTGAAAACATAAACCAGGAGAGTCTGAAGACCTAAATTATCTATATGGGCATTCTGCTTCCATATAGCAACTTCTAGGTAGTTCACAAAGGCAGAAAACATCTTTTTCTGAATGCATAATACTCAGATCATGTAATCACAGCTGGGCAGAGAAATCTAAACCTAAGGAGGAACATGCTCTTTACAAAGCATAATTAGGGAATGGAAAGACTTGGAATTCCTTTTTTCCTGTGTCCTTGCTCAGAGGCAATTACCAGTGATTTTGGTGAAGATCTGACCCAAATAAGAGCCAAGAAAGGCTCTGTGGATGTGGTCCCTCAGCACTGCATGTCCAAACTACTCTTGCTGTGGGGTCTTGCACTGGTAAAGCAGGATCCAAGCTGAAGATGGGGCTCTGTCACATGTTCCCCTCAAAGATCTCAATTGTAGCCAGACTTGATATGTTTGAATTAAACACATGGGGTTCATAGTGTTGGTCTTTGTAACTGCTGACACAGATACACAGGCACTTTCAAGGCACTGGCCTTTTATCTGACCTTTATTCTGAAAACTGTCTATGCTCAGAAAAGCATTAAGTGTGTCCTGTTTGCTCGACACAAGAAAATCAAGTGATTCCAGTATCATGACATGGCTCCCTGAATGTGATTCCCAGGTTAAAATGGATAAGCAGTGCGAGATACTCAGAGTTCTGCTCTTTAAGTAATTCACTAGAGCTGAAGATATTGCCTTTGATGCTCTTCTGCCCAAATCTTAATATTATAATTTACTATTTTAAGCTTGTTTATAGAACTGGAATAATATGCAGATAAAAAAGGATAATTACTAGGGTGTTTTCAGGCATTAAAGCTGAGGTTTGAAGTTCCCTTTTCTGAGAAAATAAACCAAGGAATATTTTACTATCTGAAAACCTGCCAACTGGTCTTTACTTACCATGAAGTGAAATCAAGCACCACTTTGTTAAAAGCCAGTTTCATCACAATGATCTAGTTGT